TGTATATATGCTCTTGATTATGTTGAGGAATTTCCCTTCAATTGCTACTTTTTTGCATGTTTTTATCAGGAATGGATGTTGGATTTTCTCAAATGCCTTTTCTGCATCAATCGATATGATCATGTGGTTCTTTTCCTTTCTCTTATTTATATGATGGATTACATTGATTGTTTTTCTAATGTTGAACCATCCTTGCATCCCTTTTATGAAACCCACTTGGTCATGATGTATTCTTTTTTTTAATGTGGCACTGGATTCTGATGGCTAGGATTTTGTTGAGAATTTTTGTGTCTATGTTCATGACAGATATTGCGCTCTTAGTGATGTCCTTACCTGGTTTTGTTATGAGGGTTATGTTTGCTTCATAAAAAGTATTAGGAAGTTTTCCACCCTCATCTATATTCTGGAATAATTTAAGTAGAATTGATGACAACTCTTCCCTGAATGTTTAGTAGAGCTCAGCAGTGAAGCCATCTGGGCTTGGACTTTTTTTGGTTGGGAATTTTTTGATGATTTGGTCAATTTCTTCTTTTGTTATGGGTCTGTTCAAGTTTTCTACTTCAATCTGTGTAAGTTTTGGTAGGTCATGTTTTTCTAAAAATGCATCCATGTCTTCTAAGTTTTCAAATTTTTTGAGTACAGCTCTTCATAGTATTCTGTTATTATGCTTTTGATTTCCTTTGGTTCTGTTGTGACATCGCCCATGTGGTTTTAATGTGAGTGATTTGTGTCTTCTCCCTCTTTTCTTTTGTTAGGTTTTCCAATGGTTTGTCAATTTTATTAATCCTTTCAAAGAACCAGCTTCTTGTCTTATTGATTCTTTCTGTAGTTTTTCTGTTTTCCATCTCATTTATTTCTGCTCTTATCTTTATTAATTATTTTCTTTTGTAGGTTCCCTCTGTTTGTCAGTTTCTAATTGCTGTAGATGCTATGTTAATGTGTTAATTTTGGTTCTTTCTTCTTTTTGGATATGCATATTTATCGCAATAAATTGTCTTCTCAGCAACGCTTCCTCTGTGTTCCAAAGATTTTGGTATGTTGTGTTTTCATTCTCTTTTGTTTTTAGTAACTTTATTAATTCATGTTTAATTTCTTCTTTTAGCCAGTTGCTTTTCAGCAGGTTTTTTTTGTTTTGTTTTCAGGTTTTGTGTATCTGGCTTTATTTCCTTAGTCTTCTTGTTGTTGATTTTTAGTTTTGTAACATTGTGGTCTGAAAAAATGCTTTGTAGTATTTTGATGTTTATAAATTTATGGAGGCTTGCTTTGTGACTTAACACATGGTCAGTTCTAGAGAATGTTCCCTGTGCACTGAAGAAGAAAGTGCTGTTGTTGGGTTGAATGCTCTGTACACGTCTATGAGGTCAAGTTGGTTGATTGTGCTATTTAGTTCCTCTGAAACTTTGTCAAGTTTCTTTCTGGTAGTTCTGTCCCTTTTTGAAAGTGGTGTATTAGAATCTCCCATTATAATTGTTGCTGTTGTTGTTGTTGTTAAGTGCCGCCAAGTCGATTCCAACCCATAGCGACCCTGTACAGGGTTTCTGAGGCTGTAAATGTTTACTGGAGCAGAATGCTTCATCTTTCTCCCGCGGAGCGGCTGATAGTTTCAAACTGCTGGCCTTAAGGTTCGCAGCCCGATTCGTAAAGTAGATTTATATATTTCTTTCTTAAATTCTAGTAAGGTTTGCTTCATATATCTTGGTGCTTTTTCATTGGGAGCGTA